AAACAAACCCCGTAGCTCACCTTGGGGGTGGAACTCGACGGACTGCAGGAAGAGCCCGGCGGCCGGGGCCATGGCGTGGGGAGGCAGCGCCCGCGGGTCCCGCAGCTCCAGCAGCTCCCGCACACGGCCCGGCTGCAGCTTCCCCTGACCCACGGCCACCAGGGCCCCGACCATCCTGCGCACCTGGGGACATGGGATGGGGTTTGGGAGGGGGAAATACCGGTTTGAGCCAGCCAGGAATGGCCCCATTTGTGGTTTTGGGGTGAAACGCCCAAAATCGCAGCTAGGATCAGTCCTGGGGACACGGGATGGGGTGTGGGAGGGGGAAATTCCGGCCCCAGCCGTGTTTGTGGGGTGAAACGCCCAAAATCGCAGCTGGGATCAGTCCTGGGGACATGGGATGGGGTTTGGGAGGGGGAAATACCGGTTTGAGCCAGCCAGGAATGGCCCCATTTGTGTTTTTGGGGTGAAACGCCCAAAATCGCAGCTGCAATAAATCCTGGGGACATGGGACGGGGAAAATCCCGGTTTGAGCTGGCCAGGAATGGCCTGAGACTTGGTTTTGGGGTGAAACACCCCAAATCACAGTCTGGGATTGTCCATCTGGGGATTGACCATCTGGGGATGGTCAGGAATGGCTCCAGCTGTGTTTTTGAGGTGAAACATCCCAAAATCACAGTCTGGGATTGTCCATCCTGGTCTGGGGACGGTCAGGAATGGCTCCGGCTGTGTTTTTGGGGTGAAATGCCTAAAATCGCAGCCTGGGATTGTCCATCCCCATCTGGGGACACGGGGATGGGGTTTGGGAGTGGTGAAATCCCGTTTTGTGCAGTCAGGAATGGCCCTGGCTGGTTTTTTGGGGTGACAGCAGCATTTTGGGCAGTACCTGTCGGTAGAGGAAGGATYTGCTCTTGAACTGCACCTCCCAGAACTCCAATCCCCTGAAAAAAATGCCCCCAAAAAAGCATTAAAATCAGAATTTCAAATGAGTTAACCTGAAACAGCACCCGGGACAGGTGGGAGTGGCATTTTTGGGACACAATTCCCCATCCCCAATTYCCCAATGCCCMATTCCCCATTTCCAGTTTCCCCARTCCCCCAATTCCCAATTCCCAAATCCCCAYTCTCACCCGTGCGGGCTCTGCTGCTCCAGGAAGTCATGGCCGGGCTGGAGCTCCAATCCCCAATCCCCCATTTCCCCATCCCCAATTCCCCATTTCCAATTCCC